AAAAATCGGTATGAAAATCAGACTATTCTGGGTGAATTTTTTGAAAAGCTGTTCAGTTATTTACTTGTTTTTCAAAGACTGGTGGCAAATTGTCAGCATCACGAAAACAACTAGCAACAAAAGCAGCAAGAAAATCAGCACCTTGTGTAAGTAGTCAGTTCTATTAATTAATCAGCATGATTCACTTTACGGTATATATTGACGGTGTGATTAGTTATTTTCTGCTTGATCAAATGATTTTTGAATCTATTCTGCCTTATAGACTGGTGGTATCAAAAAGCCTCATCGTTATCGTCCTGGAACGGTTGCATTGCGAGAAATTCGTTTTTATCAAACATCTACTGATTTACTGATACCTTATCAATCGTTCCAACGATTAGTACGTGAAATTGGACAACAGTTTAAAACTGATCTACGTTTTCCGAAATCAACAGTGATGGCTCTGCAAGAAGCATCTGAATCATATTTAGTTGATTTTTTTCATGATACAAATTTACTAGCAACAAATGCTAAACGTGTGACCATTCAATCTAAAGATATACACGATTATTCGTCATTGATTGCTGTATCATCAAAAATGAAATCTATAACATCGTTGCAATCACGCGTAAGTCAATTAATTTGATCTAGAAATGATTGATTTTTAACCAGGTCATGTTGATAATGAAGTTAGCGTGTCCTTACCTATTTTCGTCCTGGGATAATTTCTGATCGATTTGTAATTTAGACTAGTGGTATTAAGAAGAAGCCTCGTCTTTCTTGTACTCGAAAAGAAACGTTAACTTCAAGTCCTATTAGCCAGAAAAAAACAGTGACAATATCCAGTGTAACGTCTGTTCCTAAACGATTAGAATCAACCTCAAGTGATGAAGATCTGTCAGACAATAACGAAGGAAAAAAAGAAAAGCAATGGCCAACAACCACTCAAGGTAACATGATATTTCCTGCTAAATTCTCAGAAAAAAACTTTTCTTTGTACAGTACTTCGCATTTTACACAAAGATAAAACAGCCCATATTACTGATTTAGTTTTTTCTATTATCAGGTATAATCCGTCGTTTGATCCAATTACAAAAGTTCGATGGTCTGTGGCAGTTAAGTGTCAATGATATTGAAAACCTTACGGGTAAAAAGAAATTGAAAATTAAATCTCCTTATACAAAAGATGTATCCATACTAACATCAATGATTGTTATTGTCGTTTTAAAATATGAAACGAAGTTCCAGTCATATAAATCAATGTGGAACCCATTGGTAAACAAAGCATGCAAACGAATTCAAGAGTTACTAGGTCATGGTGGGAAAAATATATTTCAACAGCTAGAAGAAGATGTTCAAAAACAAATCTGAAGAATTTTTTTCATCTATTCGGAAGTTCTTTATACGTGTGTTTATCTTTTGTTGAAAAGAGTCGAAAAAATGTTTAATGGCTCTAGATATCCACCGGTTATAACCGATTGAAATTGTACGCTTTTTTCATAGAATATTTCTCAAGGAAAATTGATTCTCTAAAATTTTTCTAATAACTGGGTTTTCTAGGGCAAATATTTTTTCTGCAAGGTGATCTCTGGGGGGAATTCTTCGTCTTGATCCAATACTTATTAAAAAAAAGATCTTTTAAAAGTCCCGTCACCGATTATAACCGATTTGCGGCTCTTCGTCGAAAAGCGATTGCGGCAGAAATAGAAAACATGAAGAATTCCACCACTTCATCTTGTAGAAAAATGTTTGCTCTACAAGACCCAGTTGTGAGGAAACTTTTAATATGCGTACTTTTCAAGCAATCCATTTCAGGAAAAAGGTGAAATTTATCGGTTATAACTGGTGCATGCCTAAATGGCTCTTTCACGACATTCGCAATTAGAACCTTTCACTTGCTTTTACAACTCGCTTCGTTCACGACGAGCTAAACCGTACTTTTTTAAAATAAACACGAATGCTAAAATCATTTTATTCAGCTTCCAAAGTTTTGAAAATCTTAAATTTCGTTTATTTAAATTTAAAAGAAGCCATTTTCAACTGCATCACTGGAATGAATGTAGAAAGCTGCACATGTTCTATTTTGTTTACTTTTGAACGAACTTCCGTTGGATTTATGTATAAGCTCTGACGGCGGATGTTAATACCTGTTGCTCTGACTTTCTTTAGGCGGCTGTCTACTTTACTTTCATGACCGATATGGGTCCTATTGTCCACAACGCGAGTTTCAGGCGGAGCTGGCCAACTCAACTCCGGAGTTGAGCGTCTTCTTTTTGCGGAGTTGGAGTTTGCTTTTAGAACGATCGGAGTTGACTTGATGCAGATTTTGTCAACTCCAACTCCGAAACTTCGGTTCAAAACTTCTTCAATCCCATTTCCTTTGCTTACTGCACATTCCGAATATGTAACTTAATGGGATCACGCGTATTTCTGTAATAAGGGCTACCGAAAATCCCAGCAGTTTTCGTCAAAATCAACAAAATAAGAAAAGCATCTTGTAGCGTTTGAAAAGTTCTATCTGACGACGTATTACTCAAATCTTTTCAGCGTTTCAGCAAGAAAATAAAGTGCAACTGACCTCAATATCAATAAGGTTTTCCAAAGATCCTTTCGAAACCGTACTTTAAAGAAGGATTTTCAAGCTTATTTTCTCACCAAGAGATGCGTACGAGTCTTTCTGTTAATGAAGACCGGAGCTCTCTACCACTTTTCGATCATGCGCCATTTAAAAGATATTCGTGCTTTCCCTGTTTTGACACGGAAACTAGTATTAATTTATTATAAATAAACCACTTAAGAGAACTATTTTAACTCTTGAGCGAAACATTTGTTCAAGTCGAGACTTGCAAGCTATTCCTGTCTTAATACCCCTTTTCTCCCCTCAGAATAGAAGGCCACCCTCTGTATAAGGCCATGTTTGGAAAAAAGTTCAAACGCCCTAATAGAAGATCATCCATTTATTAATTAATATTTTCTAAACACTCAATATTTTTAATAAATATTAATTCATAATTAAAATATACGTGGTTTTTTAGAGATTTTCGCGGAATCTCTCTCTATGTTCTCCTAAATAGTGTATTTTTCACAAAAGAGTGCATTTATTCACTCAAAAGTGTCTTTAAAAAATTAATTAAAAATCAATTAGTGAAATTTTAAAAAGTTTAATTAGTCCAGATCTGCATATTATATACGTTTCATCAAGATCGGTGATAGTCGTGGAACATCGTCTGTCGTAGCTCTCCTAAGGACTTTTTTTTTCTCATAAAGATTTTTTCGAATTCGACTTTTTTTTTACTGCTATTAATATTTGCCACATAATAAGACTATATTATGCTAAAATAATCATTTTTAACTCAGTGGACATTTTTTCGTAGAGCAACCAGACATCTGTGTTACGTAATCAGAGGGGGAGGGTGTCGGTCAATGGTTACGCTTGCTTATTCTA